GTCGTGCGGTAATTTCGTTGTACATTTCTCGCGGTCGATAGCGTTGCGAAAAATACGGAAGACACGATACATGTAAAACATTTTAACTACTCGTAGAACAATATATATAATTATCGCGAATGCGTACTTATCGGGGAAAAATATCTCGCGTTACGAGATTCGTCGTATTGTACGCACCGAAAACCCGCGAATCATCACATCGAGCTGAATTCAATATCGGGAATTCAAACAACGGCGATGAAAACTTGATATCGGAAATTAAAACAACAACGACGCGTAGCAATGCATTCACTCGTATCAGTATGTTTGCGTCACTCGATTTTACATTGTTCCATCACGTTGCCAACCGACCAAGAGACCGATGAGAATCGACAAAGGTTGCGCCGCGTCACGGTCACGGGAAAAAGGCGGACGCGATTGAAACGCCGCGGCGCGGCGCGGGCGATCCGTCCGTGTTACGATTTCGCGAACGCGACGTATCGGAAATTCGCGGCCGCGGTCGAGCGCGGGTAAACTCGAAGAAGCGGAAGGGAATCTCGGCGATCGGTGCATGTGCCAACCGGGCGTGCGACGTGCGACGTGTGTTACACACGGAAGTCGCATAGCCGGGGAGGGGGGGGGGTACGTTAGAGAGGGCTTTCGTGAGCGCGGACCGGGAAGTGGCCGAGGCGTTTTGCAAAGTGGCGGTGCCGTTGTCGGGTTAACTACGAGTCGCTAGTTCCAGGAACGGTTCATAGCGGCTGGATAAATAGGTAAATGGCGCGCTGCGTGCTCCGCGAGCATTGTATAACACCGGGAACTCATGCACTGTAATGCCGGCCTTTGTCGTCCTACTAAATTAATTCGCGAGCTACCACAGCGGCAAGATATCCAGAGTGATTCTGGTGCCCGTAATCCGTCGATGACGACGTGCGCGCCTCTTCATCCACCCATCTACACACACGTACACATACGCATGCGTATACACGCGCGGCCGAAGCGACGAATTTTGTGTGTCGCGTGAAATAGGAGATTTTCTTCTATCGAGGAGAGCGCGGGGAAGTTGCAACAAATTTTCATACGATCCGCAGAGATGCACCGTGACGTAGGCAAATAATTAGCTCAAACTCGCCTCTGGCAAGTTAGTGCACATTACACAGTAGCGGCATTATTATCGGGTAAAGCTCGGGAGCTACCCGTCTCTCTTACGGTCGGTCTCCCCATCCAAGCACTCGCCGGAGGTCGAGTGCCGAGAATCTAACCTGCGTGCTGCATTGTTATTGCATCTAGAAATTCATCATACATCGTGATTCGCATCTGTGTCCGTTAGTTGTTTCGACAGCGATAAATGTGTAAGTGTGTTGTTTAAAGGAGAGAAAGAGAGAAAGAGAAACTCGTGGGCACGTAAGATGGAAAGGAAAGAGGTGTAAAAATTATACCTCTTTAATTATGGAAGAAAACGGAACATTAGGAAGCAGTTCTGAATGTGCTTCGATCGACAGTCGCGCTGCACGAATATCACAGGATGTGCGTCCGACCCGAAGAAGAAGACTAGGTTCACCGAGACCGAGTTTTCGTTATCGAGTCCTTCCGCGCATTAATTCGGTTTTGTTACGAATCAAGCTTTCTCGCCGCTCTACACGCGTGCTTAATCGTTTCATTGTGCAACGTCAGTTTCCGCAACTGCGATAAATTAATCTGCGAATCAACGCGCACAAAGTTGCCGCGCGTTTTCGCTCCTCTCCTTTTCGTCGGGGAACACACACCTTTCTGATAATTAATATTTCTCATAATTACTGTCACATCAAGAGCGATGCGGATTTAGCGGTTGCCGTTAATTTCGGTATTCCAAAATTGAATCGGCAAATCGCATTCGCCAAAGTGGTTTAAGCTTACCGCATAGAGTACACATGGAGTCACTGCTACTTTATGGTATAATTTAAGATAGTTGTAAATGTGCGCAATATCGCAACATGCACGAGAAAGAGAGAGAGAGAGGGGGGGGGGAGAGAGAGAGAGAGAGAGAGAGAGAGAGAGAGGCAAGCAGATGGTAATAAGTTGGCGTAATTTTGGATGTAGTTTTTAACCAGAAGAGCGAGAAGAAACGACATATGGCAGTAACAAATATTAAATATTCATGGAAATGAAAATATGGTAAAAATGTAATTATACATTCGCGCACGTCCGTAATATTCGGATTTCCACAATCGCCACGTGATATTTTCGATAACCGAAGAAGAATGCGCTGCTAATGAGCTGAAATGTATGCTGTAGAACGTGCGGCGATATAAATTTATTCGTTCTCCAATCCAGGCATTTCGAAACGTCCCGACGGGCTCATAAATATCGCCGTCCGACGAAGATGAAAGTATCGCGACTATCTTCTTTTTTCATTGGAACGTGACTCTATCGCGCGTTCTCGACTGACGCGACCTCGCTTTTCTCCCGTGATACTTATGAACATTCCCCAATGCAGACTATGAATAATATAGGCGACGAGCGAAACGAAAAAAAAGAAACGCTCGCGGACGGAAGACAAACGGCGAGATAAACGTGATATATCTGCATAGGACAGTTTCCATAATGAAAGGAAGGATTTCCCAAAGGCGTATAACAGATTTGCGTCGCTTACGGAATCTGCATCGCGGATTAACAAATATTTTTCTAGGGCGCGTACATAGTTCGACGTAGCGCGCGCGCGGAGCGGCAACGCTATGTATTTTCACCCGTATTCCCGCTTGCATTTACCAACCTTGCGCAATCCGGCTCTCGGTCGTGCCTTTCGCGAAGCTCGTATATTGTACACGCACGACCATTGTAGCTACGCGTTCGCGGGCTCGCGCTACGAAAAAAGCCCCCCAGCTGCAGTTTAAAAACACGCGCGGCCCCATTTTTTTCCCAGCTCGCCCTGTCAGTTCTCTCGGCGCCTTCGCTTGGCCGACCATCCGCGTTGGTTGTATTTTGTTGCTTTCAGTTTCGGCCACCGCAACGTTACTTTGTGCAAATGATAAGCGCGCCGTGCAAGGAGAATCTCGCGCGTGTGTTACGTAACTCACAGAGCGCGCCGGGGGATCGCCGGCGAGTCGACGACGACTCGAACGCGGCGGTGCTTGCCGCCTTGTAAAAATATATTAAGTTATTAAATCGACAAATTCGCGCTTTTGCCCTTTTGTCATCGATTTCTCGGAGCTCTCTTGAGCGGACGATCCCCCGGGGAGATATTTCGCGTGAAAGTTGCATCAAGTTCAGTTGGTCGGCGCATTCGTAAGTCGCTAGCGCGGGGTAGGTAAGCGGGCATCTCGCGTGCATATTTAAAATCCGCGAAGAAACGCGACGAGATGATTCGCGGTGAAACGCGGAGGGTTGAGACGGAAGGTCGGACTTATCAACGTCCGGCCCGACGTTGCAATTTAAAGTCAACGAGACTCGTTCACTTCGCGGCTCTGCACGGCCGTCTCTGACCGTGTGGCGGTGGCATTTACTTTCATAGAGTAGCGCAGGAAAGCCGCGACAAAAGGAAGAGACCGCACGAGGCTATTTCGCGAAAAGTGTATATTTCAGGGCGCGCAATATATTTTGGAATTATATTCAGCGCAGCGTCTACACAATACCGCGGCGTATTTAATCGTCGCGTAACATCCTTATATATAATTGGAAGTGAACAAGAAACATTTGTGTCTATTACAGCGGTGATGCTGCCGGCACACGTCGCTACGCGATGCGTGTGCCCGATCACAGGCGGGCTTTTCTACTTCTTAATGTCCTCCAAGCTACTCTCCATCGAAGCTGCGCAACACACGCGATTACTGCAAAATCGTGCTTGTTTTTGACAATATTTTGCGACGATCTGAATAAATGTGCAAGAGTGAAAATTTTTGATATATTTACACAACATATGAAGAGTAGAAAAATTTTGTTTTGTATTAACAAATACTCATATGAATATACGTCCACTTAAATTTTAAACGCGTTTTCCTCGAAATCTTATTGTTCAACTGTTTTTGCAGTGATTTCTCCGAAACTGAGCTTCGTATCGATTTGAAATTTTAAAGCAATGATATTTGTTCATCTGGCTGTCAGACGAACCATGGACAATTACGTCAAAATATTTCACTTCGAGATATTAATTTTTTTATTGTAAAAGAACTGAAAAATTTGGATTTTTTCCTAACAATAGCTGCCATTTTGTTAATTTTGTTCGATTTTTTTTTGTCTAGTGGTTCACCGGATAATGATAAGCCTCCTCAAGATTTCTAGCTAAAATTCGCTCTGATCGGACCATCGAGAGCCGAGATATTACTGCAAAACTACAACTTGAAAAAAAAAAAGAAGATTATATTTCAGTTAGATATATATCGTATATTTATATGAGTATTTGTTAATAAACAAAATTTTTCTGCTCTTTATATGTTGTATAAATATACCTAAAATTTTCATTCTTGCACATTTATTCAGTTCGTCACAAAATATTATCAGAAACAAGCACGATTTTTCAACAATCTGACTCTCCAGTCCCCTTAAAGGGGAAATGAAGAGAATAGCGGGAGAAAGAGAGAGAAAGAAAGAGAAATTCGTCAGTAAACAAGACACTTGCATCCTTACGTTCGCGTTTTCGCATGTAATATTCTTCGGAAACTCGTAAACGAGACTCCGCTGGCGACGACAGTCGTCGCTTCACAGGCTCGATGTTTTCAAGTTCAGTCGACGATCAGACGCGCGCGTTTTACCGAGGTCCTTCCCTGCAATTCACCAGCGCTCGATATCCCGTCGTAGCGATATCTAGATGACCGGCATAGAGCTATCATCGCCGGATTTCCCTGACCTCGTCCCTTCCCCTCCCCCGTCCCCGCGTTTTCGTCGTAGAACGACGACGATGTTCCGTCGTTGGCCGGCGATCGGCCAGCCGTTCACGGCGTTCTCAAAATACAATCCCCCTAAACGATGACGGCGGATATTCAGGCCGGTTGCGAGGGTTCGCGGCGTGCATTTTAATGAACTCGTTATCCAATCTTGTTTTCCAGTGGCGTAAGTTCCTACGGGAGAGGACGTCGAGAGAGGAAGGCAGAGGAAGACCTAGAGAGGCAGAGAGGGAGAGGCGGAAGGAGGGAGGGAGAGACTGCAGAAAGAGAAAGGGGGGAACTGCAGGCGGGGTGGTAGCGGCGGGGGTGGTGGTGGCGGCGGCGGCAACGGAGCGAGGGGAAGGCGGCGGGGTAAACCGGAACCGGAAATGGCTGCGAGGTGGCTGCTGCTGCTGCTGCTGGCGCTCCTCGCCGCCCACGCCGCGGCTCTTCCTGATTTCATTAGGATAGGTGAGTATCTTTCCAGTTTCCTCCCCGACGTGAAAGCCGCGACCCTTTCGGTCGCATTGAATAGCGTCAGTAAAATTATTATCAATGTCCCGGTCGATAATACTCGAGCCGAGAGAGAGAGAGAGAGAGAGAGAGAGCCGCCGGGCGCGACTGAGCTCTCTTGGAGATGAAGTCGAGGATGGAGCTTCGGGGGATATTATAAGCAGATAAGATCTTATTTTGCAGTTAATTTCAAGCGGACCTCGCGCCGACGCGGAGTCACCGGGTCACTTCGAGATAGCTAGAGCGGAAATATGCGTTTCCCTCCTCTTTCGACGCGAACACGCGCGGCTGATTCCTTCGGGCTTGTTTGTTTCACCCGCAGAAACCGCGATCGCTAGTCGCGCCTAGACACGCGCGAAGAGAGACGCGCCGGGCGGCGTCTTTCCGCGAAATTTAATTTCAGTGTCACAGTTATTGCTCTTTTTTTTTCTGTTTTTTCCTCGCCCACGCTCTTCGTGTTCGATCTCGCTCGGAGGTCCACCTCCTCATCGATTACGTCATCCTGCGCTTTTAGCTCCCTCACGCGTTCGCTCCTGATTTAAACAGTATTGCGCGCGCACGCGATATTGCGTAAACAGTTGCGAAATATCATTAGACCGTAGCAGCGCCGTGAAATGTTTAATCGAGCCGAGGGCGGGGGGGGGGGCAAATAATTGAAATTTACGGCAACGATAAAAGACTGCGTTACCAACGGCGCTCTATTTAATTGGCGCTGATGGCGCGAGCGGCGCACGAGCGACGACGAGTACACGGATAACGTACATTTTATTGATGTGCGACGACAATTACCGAAGTTCTGGCTTGCGCGCGTCAGAGAGAAAATCAGTCCGATCTCAACCACACGTGTACTACCGTACACGTGTAGTACATACATAGCAACGAGGGTATTTCACAGTCAAATGTCGTTTAACCGCCCGTCTGTGAGCACATTGAAAGTAGTAACAGTCGGCTACGAACCAACGAATGGACGAACGGACGTGCCGGTGCACGGTGATGCAGCATTTCGCTTATAAATTGCGAAAATCTCTGTAATGTCGCGGAACGGCTGTAACACGCCCGGGCACATAATACGAATGGTTCATTTTACGTACATAAGAGCGATAAACGTGCGGCAGCTTCCGAGCATTTTGAGTTTGAAGAAATTTCCGGAATTTTCGCGACTTGCAAATATTTGCGTTGAAAAAGGCGCTTATTCATACCTCGTCGAAACTTGTGGAGGGAAGGAAGGAGAGAAAGAAAAGGAGAGAGAGAGAGAGAGAGAGAGAGAGAGAGAGAGAGAAAGAGAGGGGGAGAGAAAGAGAGAGAAATATTGTTCTGTCCTTTTATACAAATCTAAATTGATAATATCATTCTATTTTGCTCGATAGTTGATTTTTAAGCGAAATGGCCGGTTTCACTGTGCTGCTCAAAGTATTGCTATTGTATTTTTACGTATCATTGTATTTTTCACAATGTAAAATATCATCGCGTCCTCTCCTTTGGAACGAGCATTAAAAGTCCATTTTCTAGTTTTATCATAGAAGCGCCCGGTTGCTTTTATATAAAAGCCGTTCGTATTTAAATTCTCATTACGGATAGAGAGGATTACGAGATCGCAAAGTGCAGTGGTTTTTGCCGCTACTGCCTCTCCAATAGAAAATAAAATCTCGTTTATTTAATGGAACAGCTTTCGTTACATCGTTCGATACATATCCCATCGTTGTCCGGAAAGAGGAACCAACACTGTTATCGTTAGCGCGATCTAACGACAGGCGTAATGCTGTACGTACCGTACGTGATATTTCTATACCTAAAAATTATGGATTCATGCATATTTGTTGTGGCGAAGACAAATATTTGCGATAACAAAGAAGGCTCTCTCTCTCTCTCTCTCTCTCTCTCTCTCTCTCTCTCTCTCTCTCTCTCTCTCTCTCTCTCTCTCTCTTTCGCCTGTACGTGTATTAACTTTTCCAGCGTCCCACTCTTGTCTGATCCTCCGCGAGTGCGATGAAACAATGACAGCTTATATATCGCATCGATTCACAAATAACCGAAGGAGGAGCGAATATATTCATAACCCCACGCCCACTTTTTCCCTCAAAAAATCTATCGAAAGAATCGATATAACTATTAATCAAGAACACGAGTCATTATGAATAACGACGCGTACATATTCAATTAAGCCCCATTGTGAGGTATTTCGCGCGACAATAAATTTCAAGATAATAAAGCGCGAGTGTGCGCGAAAGAGGAAGAAAGAATGAGGCGGTTATATCTGTGAGCCGGGGCAATTCGTTTAACGGTGTACATTCGTTCGTGAAACCGTGCTGTTGTTATTTAACAGCCCGTTGGTCGTTGTCGTCGTCGTCGTCATCGTCGTCGTCGTCGTCGTCGTCGTCGTCGTCGTCGTCGTCGTCTCTCTAGTCACCGCCACCAGGTACTTGCGATACAAGCGATGCGATGATGCATCGAAGACCCGGTTGCACTCTGAACTTTTATCGAAACGTAAATTCACGTTGCACTTGACTTCCGAGTGCTTTCTTCCCGAAATAGCGGAAGAAACGGATGCGGGTCGATCGATATTGCACACGGGCTTCTCTCTCTCTCTCTCTCTCTCTCACACACACACACACACACACGCGCGCGCGCGCGCGCGCGCACGGCGCACTTGCTGCACTCGATCGTTGTTGCATCGTTACATCCGCGCGCCTCTTTGACAGACCTCGAGCCGCGCGACCAGATGTACACGACCAATGTCTTTCCGTTATCGGGCGGAATATAGCTCGGCGAATTAGCAAAATGGTACGACGAAAGATCGCCGTTGGGAAACACTGGCGGAAGTCGGCTTGCATTACGCCGATTGAATTTTAAGCGCCCCACATTTCTCAGCCTTCTTCATTTGCGCGCTTCGTTTATTCGCGCAATATCGCAATATCCCGCCGTGTGCGTTGTGACTTACTATTCCGCGATATTTCTGCTTGGTGCCTATTCAATTATTGCCGGTCGAACGTAAATCGCGCGTTGTCTGCCGATGCAATATCGCGCGCTGCGAGATAAACAAGCGACGCGCGAAGGCTGCGAGTTTACTTCCGGCGTGTTGAAACGCGCCCGTAATTATAATCGTAATTGTAATCGGGGGAGGGGGAGCGCGATGAACATGCAGATAATTAATTTTCGTGATTTTTATATATCATGATACGCGCCACGAGTGCACAAAAGGTAAATACATCGCACAGACGTTGCGGAATCGTCCCAATTGCCAGACGAGCGAAACGAAGAGAACGATTAATGACGATCGTAACATTTGTCTCAGTAAATCACGATTTTTTATCGCAATTTCGCCGAATACTCGGATATAAACGGCGTTACCGCGACGGATAGACGCAGCCGTTGAATCGACCGCGAGCGGGAAACGGACGAGGCACGCCGCTCGCGTAATTTACGTGCTTACAAAGCTGTCTTTCGCGTCGTTATAATTAGAATTACGAGCGATCTTCCGTTTTAGAGCAACGGCGTCTCGCTATTCGCTCGTTACGTTATTACAAACATACTTCACGGGCCGTCAAACCCACATCAAAATTAAAAGCGAGCGCGAGCGCTGCAGTCCAAGTATAGTTTTTGCGATTTATTTGCATAAGCTGCAGGCGATCTTGTTTCTCACGCACGCACGCGTAATTAAACGAGGAGGCTTTATATATAATTATATATAATTTATATATAATTATATATATATATATAAACACACACACACACACACACACACACACACACCGCAATAGCAGAGATAAACCCGATGTACCGGAACGGTATCAATTTGCCGTTTTTATTGCACCGTAATGGTTGCAACGACAGCGGCGACGTGGAAGAGCGCCGGCGATCGAGAACCGCCAAGTAATTCATTAACGATCGATGGGCATTCGAGTTCGATTAATTCGACAACGGTACGTCCGGGAGATAAAAAGCGGAGGACAAGAACCGACTGTCCGACCGTCACGTGGACGGGGCTATTTTTCAGCGGGCTATAATTTTCGCGACGCTTTTACGAACGGTTTGGCACACCGGATGTCGGCGCATACGCGTCATCCGCGTCACGCATCGTCGCAACCCGTACGATTAGCGATATTCACCGATCACGAATTTCTGTTCGATATCTGTTAGACCCCTGTGGTGCGATTCTTTAACTCGTTATTGGAGTTAACGACAGTTTCGTTGTGCAGTTTTTCTACGGTATACAAAAGCTGCGCAACGATAACGAAAGTGTCGTTAACTCCAATAACGAGTTAAAGAATCGCGCCGTTGAAACGTTATTGCGCACTTTTAGCCGTATTCCGCAGCTCCCTATCACCCAGGTGGACGCGGACGGTATAGACGTACTTATTTCATCTCCACCTCTACACAAGTCCTGCGAAACGGCCAAAGGCTCACCGCCGGCAAGCCGTGCGCGCGTTTCCTTTTCTCCTCGACTTCAAGCGGTGCGCGTTTCCGCACCGTTCACGTCCCTTTCTTTCGGCCGCGTTACCACGCTCATTATTGTCACAGTGGCGTGCGCGGGCGAATCGGACGACCTTACCAAGGTGAATCGATAGCGGGACCGCTAACGAAAGACGTAAATCTATCCGGCAAATTCTATAAATCGCGGAGTCAAGCCGGCGCAGCTGTTCGTACAGTTACTTTATGACGTACGCGAGATTAAAATCAATTTACGGCGCCAATTTCTCCCGCAGAGTGAATTGGAGCAGGCGGGATTTAAGCGGTTCGACCGGAGAACACCGCCGAGAGAGTACTTATGTGACGCGCGCGCGACGCGATGGAAATGACAAGAGACAGAAACGTATTGTTACCGGCGCGCCGGCTTTTGTTCCTCTTTCTTTTTTATCCTTCCTCTTTACTCCACCTCCCATCCTCCTCATCCTCCCTCTTTCTCTTTTTAATCGAACCAAAATAAATCCGCGCTCACACCGTACGCGCGCGCGTACACGCGCGATAGCAATGCTATTATTTCGAATACAGAGATATTTCACGAATATCCCATTTAATTCAGTTTTATTCCATGCTAGTCCGGGACGCGCATAACCTACTCACGGTATTTTCCAATTCCTGCGTTGTGTTTTTTCTTTCTTTACTTTTTCATAGCGTAATCCTGACGTTCAATGAAATATATTTTGGTGACAATTTTTCCCGCGCACGGTCGCGCGCCGCGTCAACAAGTAATTCAATTCAAAATACATTTTTCCGAATTTGTTTTATTAAAACACTTTTTTTCCGGTGTATAACGCCGCGTGTATCGTCGGTGCATTTTATGGGCATTCGACCAGCAGGCAAGATGCAATCTATTAGTAGCTTAAAGCACACTCCCGAATCCATAAATCAGACAAACACGCGCGGAAAATAACGGTCTAGCGGGAGACTGATGTCGAGTCGCAAATGTGAGTCGCGTTTTTTACACTAAATTTCTTCGTCGAGCTTCTCTTCCGCGCAGCGCGTTATTTCCCACGCAAGAGGTCGGAATTTTCGCCGGACGTATCGAAATTGACCGATGCAACAGCGGGAGATGGGCCATAAATCTTTATCGTGGCCGATACACCGTGTGAACAAAGAAAGAGAGAGAGAGAGAGAGAGAGAGAGAGAGAGAGAGAGGGGAGTGGATGGATAGACGCGATCGGACAGGGAAGTGTTGGATAAAAGAGACACGCCCGTGACGACGTCGGTCGCGGACGGAAAATAAGGAAAAGTGCATGCGTGGATTTCGTCAAAGTAGCGCCCTTTAATATGGATGTGTGATTTCCCAGGTGGGCTGTTTCATCCGTCGGACGACAAACAGGAAGTGGCCTTCCGCTATGCCGCGGAGAAAATCAACGCCAACCGGGACATTCTGCCCAAGTCTCGGCTCAGTGCCCAGGTCGAGGTGATACAGCCGCAGGATAGCTTCCACGCGTCGAAACGAGGTAAGTTTCATAATCGAATCGGAAATACTCAGCTGGTGCGAGAGACCCGTGTCTCAAGACGAGCGAGCGGACGAGCGAGCGAGGTCGTTTTGAATTTCTTCCGACGTCAAGGATTATTTTTTTCGATACCGTCGCTCGCGGACTCACGACTCTCTTAGGGTATCGTTTCGGCGCGCGAAATCTTCTATTGATCTCAGTTTAATGCAATTTTGCACATTCCCGTTTATGATTTGCCTTTTCTTGAATTTAACATCGGGATTTTTAACGAAGCACTCTCTCGCATTGAGAAAACGAAAGAAATCAATGCCGGGGGGAGAGTCACGTCGTTGGATTAGAATAATTCCACCGGACGTCAGAATAAAAAAACCTCGGAAGGGAAACCTGAGGAAGAGGAAACCGCTTCTACCTTCGACGACACCGACAAAAGACAACCGAAAAGCTCATGCCGCGAGGGGCTACCGTTGGCCGAGAATCATCACGCGCTAATATATGCACGGCACGCGGAGTCGCGCGAAACTGCCTCGAGAAAGTTCGCGCGGCTTGACGCGCGAAATAAACTCCATTTGCGCGATTAAGGATTCGAGACGTTGTTGCTCGCGCGAAGCTTCGCTCTCGCCAAATGGCGAAACGGGGCGCCAACTGATGCCCGACGCGCGACGTCCTCGTACCGTACCGGCGAAACTCCCTAACATCCTTATCTCGAGCGACGCTATGTGTGAAGCCCGTTCCACCGCCAAATACTATTACTCGCTGTTCAAGCGTATCTAGTATATCGTGCGCGCATACGTCAGCGAGGTGAACTTCATTATAACGTATCAAAAATCACAACTCACTCGATTAGCTGTTCGCGCGTTGCGTCACGCAGCGTACTCTAATCGGCCTAAAGACTCCGTTAAACATTCAAACAAGAGAGATAACAATTCATCACATCTGTCGTTCAAAACAACGCGTCGCGTCGTAGCGAAAGTCTGTCTGCCGATTAATTCCCACGTCAACCCTAATTCCTCCGAACGATACGACTCGGAAAAGGCATTTTCTTTCAATTTTACCTCTCCGGATGAATATTATTTCATAAATTCGAGCGAACGAGTCGCGTATGCAATATTTACTCCAAAGGTACTCGAGAATTCTACATTCTCTGCGCGAATTCTACATACTCTAGAGATCTGAAATGAATAATCTCGCAGTGGCGAGATAACGGATTCAAAGGGTTAGAACTGTCGTTGGCGCAACAGCGACGAACTTTCCGCTTTATTACAGAAGGAAACGGCGATGCGCGATAAGCTGTCCTCCCCGCTTCAGACGGCGGAACATCGCGAATTCCGTTGCGCTCGGTCGGCTCGGGTCGCATCAGAGATCATGCCGAACGATACAGCCGCGAATCTCCCCGCGATAACTCGCGACTCGCGGGGCGGAAGATGAATAATAGCGTCTAGCACAAAATAATAACTCGGCGGATATTTGCGCGCGGAATTAACCAGAGCCAACGTAATTACCACACGTCGAGAGAGTTGCTAAATGATTAAAGCGAGCGGCGCGTTCTAAATATGCACGCCGTTGAGTCGCGGGTGCATCGGTCACGCGCGCCCGGCTGAGTGTGTGAGTTTCTCCTCACAAAGCGAGCGGGAGAGTTGGATGGCCGAATTTGGCGGGGCTCCAGGCCGGTATTACGGCCGTGAAAGCAATTTTATTGATAAACTTCTGTTTGCCAGAAGTTAACAAATCTCCTTGGGACGCGACGATCGCGCTACCGCGCCGGGCGCAATCGCGCCGCGCGCGCGCATTCGGGCGACGTTCGCCCGAATTCGCCGAGGGTGATTCGAAAAATTTATCTCCCGCTGTAATTCAACGGCGTAACGGCACAATGGAGAGTAACGATTGTCGCCGTGTCGGTGGCTAGACGCAAACTTTACTTTATACTTTATGTACCGCAATGGCGTGTATGCAATGAGCGTAATGCCAATTACGCGGGATTTCAGCCTCATTAACGAAATTACGTAAGAGGTGTTGTAATGCGATTACACACGCAGCTCGGGGGACCTCACAAACAATAACGTATATCAAAGACTGTCACGCTACGGTGGTTTCCGAATTGTTTGAACCGACGATAATCCGAGCATGTGTTCTCGCGATATTCGGACGCTTTGGAAACAGCAAAGAGCTACTCGATTTTACTTCGAGCATCCATTTCGAATGATTCGTATCGAGACAAAAAGCGAGAGAGAGAGAGGGAGGGGGAGGGGGGGGAGAGAGAGAGAGAGAGAGAAGAGAGAGAGGGGCGAGATGAAGGAATAAATGGATCAGAATAAAACGGAAGAAAACCTTCCATCATTTCGCATCGATATCGGGAAACGTAGAGTTATCGAAAGAACCGCGACGTATATTCATGAACCGCAATGTATCATTACTCGTATCGATAACAAATTTGTCAGCGATATCGTATCACCCAATGTGCTAGGTATGCCGGCACACATTTATTTGATTAGCGAGGCAATTCTTTCGCGGTCGTTTGAGAGATAGAAAGAAAAGACGGGAGAGAGGAGAGTCGGAGAAGAAGCGGGAGAAGAAGAAGTAGTACTGATAAACGGTTGTCTGCGACGTCGGGCGCAATAGTGGGATAAATTAAACGCTGGGAATTCACGTCAGGTCTCGTGTTCTTCGTCGTCTAGGTTTCGCGGCCCCGGGGCGATGAACTCCTCTACCGTTCGACAAACAGAAAGAGCGGATGGTCGTTTGGACGGTCTCGCCTCGCTGTCTTTTTACGATACGACGGAAAAACATTGGCGAGTGCGGTGGCGCTGGCGGCCTTTGTTCGCTCCGTACGTTCGCCCCGCTATGGCAACGCGGCTTGTTGGTAGTACGGTTTTACGATTCCGCTCGGCTGTCTCGGAATTTTCGATAATACGCTCCCCTCCTCCCCGCCCTCTGTCGTGCTGCCGCCGTGGAAACGTGGTTTCGAGCGGAAGTTAACGAGGAAGACACGCGCGCGCGCGCGCGCATTCGATTATACGCATCGTTCCGTCGCGTTGGCCGGACGGAAGAAGGAAAGAAAACGGAAAGAAAAGCGAAACTATCCCGATAACACCAACGGCAGAGCGCGCGGCTTCGATCTTCGACCGGAGCGGAGAGTCGTGGGCTCGTTTCGCATGCGTGGCGCGAAGGATATCATTCAAGACGCAGCGATCCGAAGGCTCTTATGCAAACATTACCGCGCGATAATCTTCGTGAGGTATCGGAGAGAGAGAGAGAGAGAGAGAGAGAGAGAGAGAGAGAGAGAGAGATTCTTTCTTCAAAATATCCTCCCTCTCCTCCCCTCCGCCGTTCCCGAAAATATTTTCGCCGCGGGAGAGGTAATCCGATCCGAGCTGATTCCTCCTCAGCGCTGAAACCGCCGGCCATAGTTCGCGCACCCTCAAGTCGGCACAAAAACGCACTGCACATATTTTAGACCCCGCGTTTATTGCGTGGCAATTTTTTATTTAACAAAAGAACGCTATCTGGGCTCTCGCGCTGGGGATCGCGGCGCTTCTTCACGAACGAGGAAATTTGCATTGGATTCGATTACAGTCTGTAGAGTAAAAGCGTGTACGGCATAAATGGCGGTTGGCTTCAAATATCGTCCTAGTTTTTTTGTGAGCCGATAGATGAAATCTTTGTTGTGAATGCTTTGTCACAAAAGATTCAGTTGGCGTCAATTCTAACCTGAGAAACACGTTAACCGCCATGAGTGCCGCATACGCATCGCGCTACGAGGCTGTGTTCCTTTGTTCCCACCCCAAAGAACCAAAAATGTCATATGCAGTGGCTGCTAAATACATGGAAAAGTCAAAATCGTTCGTCGCTAAGTGGGTTCAGCAATATAAGAAGATCAAAAATGTCGATGACTTGCCAGAACGTGGCTCGATAGGCGAAGTGACGCCGAATATGGAAAAAAAAAGTTGCGAATTTGTTTAAGCGGAACCCGACCTTAATGCTTAAAGTTTATGACAAGTGTTTGTTGCCGACTGCTGAACGATGCTTCATAAAAAAAAAACGAGGACTGGATCTTACAGGAAGACAACGACCCAAAACACCGGAGCAAGCTTTGCACCGAGTGAAAAGAGCAGTCTGGCGTCGTCACACTTGATTGGCCATCGCAGTCGCCAGATGCAAATCCCATTGAAAATGTGTGGGCATATCTCAAGCACAAGCTTCGAGGAAAAAGAGTGTGCACTTTGAAGCAGCTGATACGACAAATTCGTCTCATTTGGAGGTATTTATTTACCGAACGAATACGCAGTCAACTTAGTGGAAAGCCTCGGCCTCGCCGAGATGCCAGGCAATTATCAATGTCGGTGGTGACTGGACTCATGATTAATGGTATAGCATTTTTCTTCTCGTGGAGTACAACAAATCCATGTACTTGAAAATCATTAAAAATAAATTTTTCTACACATTAACTCGTGCACGCTCTTACTTTACAGACTGTACCTCGAATCGATCGCATTTCCCAACGACATGAAAATACGCGAGCTGGTAAGCTTGAATTGCGAATTTTGTCGAGATCCCTTGATCGTCGACGATCGTCGACGATCGTCGACGATCGTCGCACTACGTGTCAAAGCGCCCGGGTTTTGGGCTACTCTCGGTGCCGCGAGCAAGTGACGCAGCAGGCGCCTTAATAAATGTTCAGTAACAGGAAATTGATACGGTATTCATTCTCGGAGGGGAGCGGGGAGATATCGGCGTAGACATCGGTGGATAAGATATCGCGCGCACGCGCACTTCGCATATACAATGCGCGTGCGGCCGGCGCGAGATTACGTGCCGTAACTGGAATATATCACTCGCGCTTTATTTTTCGCGCGGGTCGCGTGTACGAAAAGGATGTTGACGGTGTCGGACGTCTCGGCGGTGGCGCCGATGCGGAAATGAGAATATACCGAAACGCCCTCGCCAAAGTATAAGAGACGCTTCGTGATATTTTACGCTTACGGCAACGACGGCGCGCCTTGGCGTGT